ATTTTAATTTTGTGGATTTCATTTCTGAATATATGGACAAACGTTCCGCTAAATCTTATCAGTAAAAATTCTAATCATTGTATAAAAAAAAACGTTTACAAAAGCTTAGGTTTTCACATGTATGCTGTTCGTGAAAGATCACTTAATGCCAATATACATTTCTTCGTATATCTTAATAGTGTTTGGTGTATAACTCTTATAGCGATGTTCGATGAAGTAAGTTAAAGCATTAAAGATTGTTGAACTATGACAGTGCCATTTATCGGAATACAATTCGGAAGTTTACCTTGAATAGGCTAAAGCAACCGCTCTATTGTTCTATGCCCTGGTTGGCCCTGTTCCTGGCTGTTATAATTCTATTTAACTACAAACAATTTGTGAAGTAATACAAGTTCTGTTAAGGAGGCGAATTTTGATCACAGAAAACTGGAATCTCTGGAAAAGTGTGTATAGTACTAAGAGGATTCCAAGAGAGACTTAACGTTCGTAGAAATTCAGCTTTTACAGTTACTGCAATACTTTTAAAAAATATATGCAAAGGGGAGTTCTTTTATATAGAATTCTTTGCAGATGATATCAATAACCCCTTCTTTGAAAACAAATTCCCATCCCTATCGCAAATCTCTCTAGTTCCAATGAACGCAACTATATTATATTATTGTGCGAAGCAATGGAATGCGTATTCATCGTGGGAAAGAACCGGGTAGGAATAGCTAAATTCTTTTTTAACTAATCTTTTGCTTACTATTGTACTAACACAAAAAAAAATATACGTTAAAAAAGATTAACAATTTTTTACAACTAATTTAAACCTCTTTGATGTTAATTTTAATTCAAAATTTAATGTTCTTTCTGATTAATTATTGGTTGAAATAATTAACATCTGTAAATAGGTGATTAATTCGTTTGTCTTTTCATTATTATATTAATATAAAATATATACATTGAATTGAATTTAAATTTCTATAACTATACATATATATTCTACGTTTGATTTTTTTATATCACAATCACTTGTTTAATATTTAGATTTTCGTTTTTTAGAATATATCCTCAGTACAGATCCATGTTACTACATTTTTTTAAAATAATTCTGTCATATTGTTCGTTTATTGGACCATATCATTTTGTGTGGTGGGACCCGCATATTTTTTGCTGTTTTTTGAGTTTTTTGACTATGCTGCAAGCTTATGAAACAAATCACGAAAACATTTTTTCTTTTTTTAAATTCAGGTACATCTTCTTTTGTATTGTACATAGAGATCGGAGAAAGAAACTGCAAAAACGATATACATACTTTCAGGAATTTCGACTGATTTTTCACAACTCCCTTGGAAAATGTGTCGAAACTTTACGAAATAGCGAGAAAGTGCTTTCCAAATAAAGTACATGATTAATTTACATATGGAAACATTTCAAATAAAATTTAAATTTTCATTATAAATACGGAGATACTTTCACAATGTACATAATTAAAAACGTTTCGATGTAATCCAGAACTGTTGTTTGTCTCACTATCTCTATACATATTTATGACCGCATAAAAAAACTTGCACAAAACAAATCGTATAAAAAAATTAAGTCACGTAGAACTAATCGCACAAATAAGCAACTTATAAAAAATGCCACACAAAAACAGGTTTAACTGTATTATAAAAAATTGCTCATGGTCTTTTCTGCAGTTTTCAAGACTTCTTGGCACGTCCGTGGTATGCAAAGAAGCATAACAAAAATCGATTTAAAACCGCAAAACACAGATGAGTGGAAGAATGCTTACTTGTCCAAACAAAATAAAGAAACAAGACTAGTCGATAATTTCGCAGTCACATCTAGACAAGTTAGGTGCAAATTCAGATCGGAAGCCAAGAGCAAAATAAACCAGTCATACTGATTTTTTTATAGACCGCTTATTAATGCTAAAAAATTGGTCCGATTATATTTAAAAAATATCTTTCCTCTTGGAAATTTATCTATTTTCCCTTAGCCAGTTCAAACTAACTACATAATTAAGGCCGCGTACTCTTTTTGTTGATGTCACAGGCAAGATAATAAAAAAATTTGATAGAGCTCGGAAAGAATATTCATGTACTCGGAGGTGGCTCAAATAAAACATAAAAGCAATGAAACAGGGATTGTTTCCTTTACGCGAATCATTTTTGAGTAGCTATTACTCCAGTGATATTCTAAGATTTTTATTGCATATAAAACCATTCTATTTAAAAAATAGAATACTTTGGCCTACATGTGAACACATCGTAAGTGACTGGGGTTTGACTACGATGAATGCGCTTTTGCTGATCTTTTGTCATGTGAATAATGCAACGAGGAACGTTAACAGTTGCTATATTCATTTAACGACTTATCAAAAAGACCGCCGCTTGTTATAATACGGTTATGTACCAACCATATTATAAAATTAGCGCACAAATATATAGAAAACTTGTTTGATCAGTCCGTACACAAATTTTTAGAACGGCAAATGACAACCGCAATGCACACTCGTCAGTTGATTCGACAGTGAGTTCACAAAACGCCATCTACGGTTATTGTAAAAAAAAACCTTCCAGTGCACTATCATGAGGAAATCATTGCATTTTACTGCATAATTAATGATATCAAAAGATGCCAAAATCCTAGAATGATTATTGAAAAACGCATCAATGATGTCCTCTATATACTCTCTAATGCTCAACTAGTTGGGTACGTTCATAAGAAGAGAACAGTAAAAGGAATGTTTTATTTAAGAACAAGTGCAACTGCATAAGAGAAGGCAGATGGCAAAAAAAAGATTAAGCCAAAGACCTCTTTCAAAGGTTGACAACGAGGAACCTAAAGATTTAAAGGAAATGGACCTCTCCGTTGCAGATGATGACTATAATATAATTGATTAGCAACAACCAACGGAGAAACACGTTAGAGAATGGTTCGATTGGTATTATAGAGAAATGGCGAACCGGATGAACAAAGGAAAAGTTTCTGAATCGAATTCAAAAAGGTCTGAAAAATGTTAGAAAAGGTACTATCGGAGAGTATTTGAGTGGACCGGCATTTGTGTAACAGGTAAAATGAAAGTAAGCTACATGCAACAACAATAAATAAATATTGAGAGTGATGTTATCTGAGAAATTGTAGAGCAAGCACATGGATTAAATCTTGTGGGAGGACATTGGAATCCGACGAGTTACCCCGGGCTAACAGGCTCAAAGTCTTCTCCCACCAAAGCTGTAAAATATTGACAGAAGACCATCATTCAACTCTTT